GGTCAACCATGTGCAAAAGAGAGAGAAGAGAGTGCGAAAAAGCACGAAAGCGTGTGAGAGACAGAGAACAGCAGCGTATGGATGAACTGCGGAGCTTATTTTCCGCAAAGTGAACATGTGCAGAGAATGGAGGGTGTTCTGTGTGGCTACCCAACCCCGGATGGGATCCCCGTCAATCGAATAAGAGGAGAGCCAACACTACCAGATTGATCGGCCGATGGGACACTGGCTGTCAATGCTGCCGTGCCGTGGAAACAACGGAGCTGGCTTCCCAGCTTTAGTCCGCTTACAACATCTGCAGAACAGCAAACAACAATAACATTCGCTACGACAATGCTTTCTTACGGCACGGTTCACCAAATCCCCCCCAAAAAATAGCAACATTTGCCGACGCATACACTGCCAACGTAAACAACGTCGAGGTGGGCAAAAAGCAACAGCACCAGCCCTCACGGTAATTATTGACAACAATCAACATCGTGAGGGGTCGCCGTAACCTCTCGTTCCTATCATGACTCACTCTGGGAACTTGAACTGGAACATCGGCTCGCTGTAGGGCATAGTCAGCAGACCGGCCTCTTCCATCTTGTCCAACTGTTTCGGATAAAAAAAAATAAGCACAAGACACGGCAATGGACATGGAAAGGGAGAGAGTTCAACTAACGTGACGTCGGTTTCAGGCATGGGTCTGATAAGGACAAAGTAAGGTGAGGGTGTTTCTGTTTCGAGGGCAACAAGAAGGTGCCACCGGGGGAAGGAGGGAGCGAGCCATCGCTTTTGCTAGAGCCACCCAGGGCTCTGACCACGCACACACCCGGTCTTTGCGCTGCCTCGCCGAGGGGTGACCTACACACCCTTGACAAGGATGCGAACACAGCACTCCCAACCGTGCGAAGGGTGTGAAGACCAGCCCCCAGCCATGCAGCTCAAAGGATGGCGTGTGTAGCCAAATGCCAGCATGACTCCAGCGAAAGCGATTACTTGCTCCCTCTCCCACGACACCTGCAGCTTGCGTGCTCCCCGCGCGAAGCCAGCTCGTTTGTTCCGGAGAAGGTGGGTTCGACGATTGTGCGGACACTCCTAACTTTCACCCGAGTGCGTACATCGATGCGGTCTTATAATAGGCACTGTACCTGCTTCTGGCGCGACTTGGCCTGCCGGACCAGGTTCGAGAAGGTACCGCAAGAAGCGATGAACTGCTTCGTGTGCTGGATCTCGGCCTGCTGCTTCTTGTACAGCTTCACCTGCGGCAGCCAAGCGAAGGAGACCGAGGTAGGACAACGAGGATGATGTAGGTGGGAAGCGGAGGATGATTAAAGTGAGGCAGCGAGGAGGACGGAGGTACGATAGCGAGGATGATTAAGGTGAGGCAGCGAGAGAGCATGCGGAAAGGGGAGTAAGGGGGGCGGAAGGAAACGGACATAGAGGAGAGGTTGCCGTGCGGGAAGCAATCATCCGATTGGTCCCAGGCACATCACCTGAAACGCCACTAAAACAGCATCAAAACGCACAACAGCGATGCCGCTACAACACCACCAACAGCAACAACTGACGTACCTGGTTAACGTCCTGTTCCTCCCTCGTCCTCTGGTAGGTGTCGTAGTTGCCCCCCCAGTACTTCATCTGCCTCTGCTGCATGACGATGATGTTGGTGCACACCCCGTTGAGGAAATCCTGCAAAAAAAAAACAAACAAAACACAGGGCAAAATCATCGTTATGTGCATTCCACGAACATACCCTTTACGACACAAGATGACACACCCCCTGGCCCGCTTTTGAAAGCTTGATTTATTAACAGCAATAAGAGTGGGGGTGCCGAAAACGGCGGCATTGAAGCCGTCTGGTCGACAGCTCTCCGAAAACGTATCGTTTCGTTGATGCATCCTCTTGGTCGTGGAGAAATCGAGCTTTGAAAATGGGTCCAGGGGGTGTGTTGTCTCGTGTCGTATACGGTAATAAGAGAGTAAAATAAGGTACAGGTTGTTGACAATGGGACTCGTCATTAGGGAAGCACTGACTAAACGTGCTACACCGTTTTTGCGACAGGCAAGAAGGAACACCAACGTATGAAGGACTCACTCGAAGAAAGTAGAAACATCAAAATAACACCAAGTACTAGAAACATAACCACCACAGAAAACAACGATCACGACAACAACAGCAGCAAGCAACAACAACAACAACATCGACATCATCAACAAACAGCAACAACAACAACAACAACAACAACAACAAACACATATCAACAAACAGCAACAACGACATAATCAAAACCACCAACAGCAAGAGCAGCAACGGCGGCGTACCTGAGAGTGAGACACAACCACCAGGATCTTGGAGTAACTTGAGAGGTACTCCTCCAGCCACACGCACGCCTCGAGGTCAAGGTGGTTCGTCGGCTCGTCCAGCAGCAGCATCGTCGGCTGGATGAACAGCGCGCGGCTCAGCGCCACTTTAATTGTTTCATTTTCAAGTTGGGGCGTTCCAGAGAGTAAGGGGGAAAAATTCGGTTTGAGGTCGAGGCAAGGCAGAACAACAGCACGTGAAGAAAAGTGGGATGGGGGTTGTTGTGTGGTTTGGAAATCCTTTCACGTCGAACGAATATGCGTACTCAAGTACTACACATACAAATATACTACACGAAATAGCCCCACAACAGCACGACGCTTGACCCAACGGTTTTGCTCCAGGCGGATGAGGGTTTGCACGCTCGTCAGCCGGCCACATATCGCGACCAACGCCATACAGCTCAACATACATCTCCAAACGACAGACTGTACGCCTTTGATTGCTCAGTCGGTTAGCCCGATCGATGCGGCACGAAGAGACACCACCGAAAAATTGACGGAAGCACAAATATTAAGCGAACCGCCACGCTTGCTTACCGCGCATGCGCCATCCTCCGCTCATGTCCTCCGTCTTTTTGTGGATAGTCTTGGCATCGAACCTGCTCACAAACAACAAAGGGCCGAACAAAACCATGACAACAACAGGAGCGGAGCAAGTATGAAAAGAGAGCAACAATCAACACGAGAGAAGCGCAATCGGGCCCAACCGACGGACGCGAGAGCCGAAAGAGCGTAAAATGAGGCACGGCGAGAATGAAGATGGGCTTAACCCGACCAAAACCACAGCCAACGGCATCATGACACGTCATCAAGCAGTATAAATCCAACGACGACTTGCCATGTATCCAAGTCTGCCAGACGCGAATAGCACAAGCTGGCCGTCGTGCTCGTGCTCAACCACACTCATAGCAACAACGGAAATTGCGTCGCCACCCTCCCTCCCAACCCCCCGCCTACCAGGTCTAGGTTTGCATGAGTATCCCCTGCCCCCCAACCCTTTCCTCCGGCTAGCGAGCCGCTGCATAACGGCTATGTCTATACGTATGTATGTCGGAGGGTTCTCGGAGACTGTCGCCAGCAAACGAAATCAACGTGTGGCCCTTCTACGCGATAGAAGACAGCACCGACAAAAAGACACCCGTATTATGTATAGATGCTTACAGAAAGGGGACGTTCCACCCCCACCCCAAAAATCACAAACACCGCTGAGCGAACACCATTGCCGATTCCTGAGACGCATTGCTGCGTTCAGCAATCAACAACTCGGGGAAACACCGGGAAAAACACATACCCACACAACGTAGAATTCGGACGGAATCGTCAAGCAAAAAAATAAACAAGGATACGCGATATGTACGGGAAAAAAAAAGCCCGCTTTGTGAGGCGGCGGATTCGTGCACAGCAGTTACGTTAACAAAAAAAAAAAACTCACCCTAGACCAATGAGGATCCTGGACGCTCTGCTCTCGAACGTGGAGGGATCCAACGCGTCGAGCGATTCGTAGACGTCGAGCACCGTCTCCGACTCCGCCCCTTCCTTCTCGATGATCGTTTCCGCAAGAGCCTCCAATCGAGCAATCTCCGCGTGCGCCGCGTCGAGGACCCACTTTTTTTTTTTTTATTATTATTACGCATGCACGGGTAAGGGGAGAGAGCGAGAGAGAGGGTGGGGGAGAGAGGGGGGGAGGGAGGGAGGGAGGCACAGTGTGTGAGAGAGAGAGAAGGAGAGAGAGAGAGGGAAGGTCGGGGAGAGAGGGATAGAGAGAGGGAGAACATGCCTGAACAGGGACACTCACCAGGGAGAGCCAAGGCACTCCCACATGGCTCAAAGCATGCAGCAGAGAAACGTTCCTACGAAATACGAAATGTCAGGTTTCCGCTCGCGTCAGGAACACAAGAGAGACGTGCAATTCAAATGACCTCGCTCACGCTAGGAATGCTACAGTAGTGAGACCCGTCAAGTAAGTTTCTTCACCCACGCCGCGAACACCAAGGGCAAGCGACCATGTACAAGGACGCTTCCCGTTTCCGCAAGGAAGCGAATAAACGCTCAACACACCACCACGTCCCTTTCCTTTCTTGGCTCTGTCAGTTCTCAGTATCTTCTGTTCTCACGTTGAGCGCCGACAGCTTCTCTTAAAGGAATAATACACATTCAATCACAACAATTCAAACCCATTCGAGATATAACCACAGCAGTCATAGGAGAGGCATTCAAGTCTTTACGGTGAGTGTGAGGGAAAAAATATGCTTCTCTCGATTCTCAGCATCCTCAGTTCTCACGTTGAGCGCCGACAATTCTGTCGGGGGGGCCTCCTCGGCAAGGAGGTAGATGTCCATGTGCTCTGGGATGGGCACCTCCCTCGCGGCTAGGCACTGCAAAAACGTAGACTTCCCGCAACCGTTCTGCCCGATGAGGCCATATCTGCGTGATTCGAAAAAATATGTGCAAAAAAAAAAAAACAAGAAAGAAAAAGTGATGTCGGTGTCACAACCCGTCGGATGAAACGCGAATAACGGAGCAAGAAAGAAAATATCATTCGGTGTGACAACCCGTCGGATGTGAACGCAAATAACTGAACAAGAAAAGCCATATCGGTGCGAAATCCCGTCGGCCAAAAATGCAAAGGAAAACAAAATAGATTAAATGTCGCGAGATAAGAGAAGACGACAAGGCAACATACCACAATAAAAAAACATGCCGATGAAAAATCGTGTGAGAAAACCAAACGAGCAAGTCGAGGAAAACATCTCGTCGAAAATCGATGAAATATCAAAGCACCACACTGAGAAAATGAACATGCGTGATTGATTCTCTCTTGGAACTAAACAGGCATAACGTTGACACCGCATGCAGACAGGGGTTGACTTCTTGGCAGCCACGCGGAAGCTAAGTTGACTACACGTGGCCGTGTTCTTGATTTACTGGGGAAAACAATGCGATGCTCACGAGCCAAACGAAACAGCAGTATGTACATGGACGCAAAAATTGATCGAGCTCGCCGGCCCGCAAGACCGGCAGAACACAACGACCCCAAATCCCACTCGCGCATCTTTCGAGACAAAACACAAAAAACCACCCCAAGACAACCTGAAGCCAGACCTCTCAACACACACACAACATTCAAAACCCAGACCGCCAACACATCGGACACACACAAACCTTCGGCCGAAGTTCATTTCGATCGTCGAGTCCTCCACCAGGATCTTGGAGTGGAAACTGAGCGAGAACGACTGGATCTTGATGTCCCGCGCCCGCGCTTCGCTGGCGAGAATGCCGGAGGCGTTACGCGCCTGGGGCCCGTCATCCCCCCCCCCCCCCCCCCCCCCCCTTTTTTTTTGAAGAAACCCCCCCCCCCCGGGCGGGAGGGGCCGCTTCCCCGCCTTTCCGGCCC